AAAAAAAAAAAAAAAAAAAAAAAAAAATGAAGAAAATAATGAGATAATCACTAATGAAATATAAAATTACACAAGATCTATTCGAAGAACTAATTAAACCAATTTTCTTTAACCGCATTAATAGCGCAGAAATATTGTTGAATAACAATTCGCTTATTATAAATATTATTTATGCGAGACTCAATTATAATTAATTGATATTGAGGTTCTACAGGTAAGCACACACAAGATCCTATATATAAATGTTACATAGAAATGAAGAAAATTAAATCTTATTCCATTCTCCACTATTTTTAAATATCGATCGTCCAATCGTTGATAATCTCACGGAATGTCCCTAGTCTTCATTTTGTCTCAGGGACACATAGGGAATTATAGTTGCGTGTAAATCATCGTACACAGACAGAATGGAATACAAGTGGCGGAGCGTGATCATGAGAATTTCATTACCTTGGTACATTTTTCCAGATCGTCGGCCATGCCTCAAGGAATCCGGAAATCATTTTTATTGGAATCTTAAGCGGTCGTCATTATCTCGGGTATAAGAGAGTCTGACAAGTGGAAAAACATTCGGCGTTAATTTATAAGGGAACCCCGCGAAGAGTATGATGTATATATTTTTTAAATGTCACCGCGCAGATACACCGCTAATTAAATCGATGTTTTAAAAGAAAAATTTTCGAAAAAATGGATCGATATCTATTTCTTCGATTTTCCAGTGGGATAAAAATTTTTTACAAATTTTTTTAAAAAGATTTAAATCATTAATTGTATAACAGTAATCGTACGCGATATGAAGTTCGTAAATATTTATAACGGAAGCGAAAATTTCAAAATATGGATCAATATTTGTTAAATTTTAAGACACGTATATTTTTCTTCCATAAAAAAATTTTACCTACTACGATTTTTAATAAATACACCTAATATATTGCCTAATAAATATTAAAAAAAAAAAAAGACTTTAACTAGTGTTTTAAATTAAGAATTTATAAATATTCCAAGAACATAATATTCTGAAATATAATTAATTTTTTCGTATAATTAGACTTTTTTTTTTTTACTATTTATATTTATAGAAATGAAAATTATAATTAAGTTTTAAGCTCGTTCGAATAATATGAAAAATAAAAATGTATAGTAACATAGTAAGTATATAAGTAAGAAACAAATGAAACGAGAATTTAAAAATTTAAAGTGCATAAATCTTTAAATTTATCGAGTTATATTTCGATTATGACATAAAAAGATTAAAGAGATATCAATGAAAGCACGCATCGTACTATCGCGACGAAAGTGACTTCAACGAATGGTAAGAGAGATTTATATTGTCCCTTATCATACTGGTTGACTCATGCTTACTTCGCATTCGAATTAAGAATTTTGCATACATTATATCATCTAAATTATTCACAAATTTCTGTATGTATATTTTATGTACATACAGTTTTTTTTTTTCTTTCCTTCCTTTTTATTTTTTTTTCTTTTTTTTTTTTTTTTTTTTTTTTTTTTTTTTTTTTTTTTTTTTCTTCTAGAATTTAGAGCTATCATTTGTACGTATGTTTTTTTAATATGTTTTTTGCATATGATTCATAACGTATTAATCCGACAAAATACCCGGATATTGTACTACCTACTTGGATATAATAACAACAGATAAATCGACAAAGATTTTTATCTATGAATAATATAAATTTTGTATAATTTTTGATTTTCGATATTATTCCTCTTTGTCATAATCCAAAAATATATCCTCACATTTTTTTTTATATATATCGTAATATAGCTATCTGTGATGGGGGGATATTTCCTTTAATTTAATTTTTTTCTTTTTATTCCCTTGCCTACTCTATAGTTATATATGATTATTTATGATAATTGGTAACTGTGTAATTCGTGCAAATAAATCACGGTGTTAAATGATATGTGTAATCATTATATTCATTCGATATATGTTTATACTTATAAATGTTAATAAATGTCAGGGTCGTTTTTTTCAAGATCGATTGTAAACCAAAACAATGATTGGTGAATTTTTACAATATTTATAAACATTTTCGCTTTCAAAATGTTTATTAACACTAGAATATTTGAATAGAAATATCCTCTTTCGAAATCGATAATAATCTTTTGCGCAATATTTATTGCATATTTTTACAGCAAAAGGGTTAACAAAAATTTATTATAATAATCTGAGATAATAATTAAGAAAATTTAAATTTTTAAAATTCGATCATTTCGCGATATAAGGAAAAATACTGATATAACGATTTTATTAATAATTATATGATTTCTTTTCAACAAAAGAAATATTTTTTTAAACAAATTACTTATATTAAAATTGAATAACCATATCTTTCTCGATTTTTAAGAATATCCTCGACGAGAGAAACTTGCTGATTAGATTTTTTTTTTTTAATAGTAATATCGTAAACCATCATTCTTCATCATATCATCGTTTATTTAAATTCATATTTTTATATTTCCAATTCTAAATACGGCGATTTTAATTTAAGAAACTTATCATCGTCAAAATTTAATTGAGAAATCAATCTTTAATCTTTCCGTAAATTAAAAATAATAATTGACAAATTCACAATTGGCACCAAATCGTCAAAAATAGTATAAATGAATTGACAAATTTTCTATTTTTTTTTAGAGAACTTATTGACTTTGATAAAAGCAGAAATGAATCAGAATGAAAACAAGACGATTGTACGTCAATTAATTATCAAGTTAATTTTGTTACTCTATGATCAAAAGTCGCGTGGCCAAGTCTTTGTTATCGTAAAGAAAGAAAATCGCTGCTAATTATCTTTGTTTTTGCTATTTGCCTATGTTAGGGATAACTAGGGATTGATCACGTGATGAAAAATCACGTGATCTTTATTTTACAGTACAGATTCTACATTCGTTTATTCAGTTATTCTAATCATTTTTCTAATTTTTTTTTTTTGAATATTGCAATTGTGTATATGCATAATAATTTCATACTTTTTAAATTTTTACCTATAAATTTTGACTATTCTTGATTAATATCGAAACTTAATGTTACATCTTGTAATGCGCATTTAAAAAAAAACGAAGAAAAGGAGGAAACATTCGATCGAAACAGGTGTTTCCTAGCAAATGTATTCAGTTGGAAGTGTTGTAACCTCAATAGTGGACGTACCGATAGGCGAAATATCTTTTTTGTTCCAAAAAAAGGTAGTTGACATCGGTAAATTAATTACATTTTTAGATATCCTAGTCTGCGTTAAAAATAACGAAACATTTAGTACGAATAAAAATTTTTATGATTATATTGCTTAAAGAATATTTTACAATTTTCTTTTTATCGAGTTTAAATTTTAATATACTAATTTTTGTTATTAAAAATTTACTCTTTGATTAAATGTAATATTGATTAATACTTTAGTATTTTATGTATTATTGAATAAAAAAAAATAAAAAAATATTTCGTTATTATATAATTAATTTATAATTCAATTCTTTTTTCAATTCTTTATATATATTGAAACTTTCTAAAGATTATTTTATATCAACACAAGTATACATAAATCATATCTCATTAAATAAACAATTATATCTCTGGTATCTGTTTATATACTTTTTATTTTAAAAAATAACAATCTCTTTATTACAACAAACAGTCGTACATTAATAAATATCACTATAACTTAATTAAATGATTCACTGTCTCATTCTTCCTAATGTATAATTTAATTTTCTTTAAATATTTCATAAGACAATGGTTCAAAATTATACAAATAAATTCAATCTCAAAATCATACTTTATTCCCGTCCAAACATATATCACACGGCAAATACTATTATTACTCACGTACCTTTCCCGGTTGTAATTAAAATGCCACCACCGAGACAAATTAACGATCCCACGAGAGCTACGAGAACAGCCAGAGAAAGCAACGACGCCCGAGGTTATTAAACTCACTCTTATTATAATATGTTCACGAGTTTATATCCTAATATACGCGATTCATCCTTCGAATAGCCAAACAAACGTATTACAAGTGTCGACTAACAGTCATGATTGATGACGATCAAAAATCGACAGGAGAGAAGATAATTATTTATCACGTTCGAAGATATGAGAGACTCCAGACTGTCTGCCACGAATCAATTGAAGAAGTCACTTGAAAAATGATTAATAGATCTTTTCTTTAATTTTGCAAATTTTTGTTTTTGCTTTCTTTTCATTTTGCTTTTAGAATTGTCGATTCGTTTTATGTAATTTGTCGTGTAAATATATCGCGACATTTAGTATTAGTTTATAAATTTAAATAATAATAAAAAATATCAGAATAATGTATGTGAATTATAATTTCATCGTAATAAAACTTTATGAAATATTTAATATTCAAATTTTAATTTACTTTTAATAATTAATTTAGCCTTTCTATTGTGTTTCATGTATGATTCAGTTATAAAATTAACTTCTCTATTAATTGTATAAAAAGTTAAAAAAAATTATTTATTTCCATTAAATTATATATTTTAGTAAAATTCATTTATTTTTGCTATATCTATTTTTGCTATTTTTGTTATAAATTAATCAAAAATATATCGAAAATATTTTTAAAAAATTAGATATATATATTATATATATGTATATACGTACGATATAGGTTATGTACGGTTAGTTGACGTTCCCCGTTAATACTACATATGCAATATCTTCAAGCTTGTATTACAGTGTTTCGGACGGAACAATACTCATTGTGAAACACTGTGCTTCTGATAATTCCAGTTAGACTGCAATCGACCTGTCTACGAGTTAAAAATAACGGTGACAATGTATGTACGCGGCCACGCGAGTCGAAAAACGCTCCATATAAAAAAATTATGTAAAATATCAAGGATCGAGCCTGACTGATGTTACTAATGAAATACTGAATATATGTACAAGCGGGAAGCCGAGCAGTCTAACTGGTATAAATAATATTCAACTTCTTCATCTACATACTTTCATAAATATGTGGAAAGTCAAAGGATTATGGAAATCGATATTCGCGATATTGAATGTATATTTCAATGATATTGTTTGTCTTTTACTATTTTTTCTTTTTTTCTTTTGCAATATATATACCCGAGGCGGATCGTTTCGATAGCCAATTTTAAAAGATGATCGTTTTTTCGAAAGAAGTGAGTCATTGAGATAAGTGAAAAGAAATTTATATCTTTTCAAGGATAACATGTAAAAATTAAAAGAATGATCTTAATATTTTTTACATAACATTGTTTTGATAATCTTTTGAAAGAATTTATTTATACGATTAATAATGATTTTGTTGATTAATCTAATATATAAACTTTTAAAAATTTTTATATCTATATTTTAGATTATGATCATTGTAAATTTTATTACAATATAATTTATAAAAAATTCAAGAAAAAAAACATTTTCATTCTATCAGTATAAATATAAATTAATATATATATATATATATATATATATGTAAACTATTTTATATATCATAATATAAATACTTTAAAGTTAGTAATACACTTATTAATAATTTATCAATTAATATTTCAGAAATAAAATTATTTTATCAGAAAATAAAAATCTAACCTCAATAACTTATAATACAGAATGTTTAAGAATTAATAAATATCAAAAATGTCAAAATCAAAACTTACTTTCGACTGCATTAAAAACACAAAGAACACAACGGAAAGCAGCAAGAGCTGCGAAATATGGCGACACTTTCGTGGGGACCAATTCATATTTCAGTCACTCGTAAATCGCAACACACAATTACGGTTTTTCGCGCGTTCTTAGAATAAAGGAGAGCGACCAAGCCGGCATATAACGTTCTCACGCATATAGAGAAAAGGACTGGTGGTCACAATCTAACCTGTATCGTTTGTACGTATATATAATTCGGTGTAAATTTCTAGACTGCGTGCCACGATCTGCTCACTAGTTCTTGCGAGAACACATTTACGACTTCCGCGATTCGATATCGCATTAATAAGTGCGCCATTTCTTGCGATAGTACCAAAGATATATCGCAGTTGCGCATGACAGTATCGATCGTGGTATCACGACTACTATTGAACGAATGTATCGATACATCGATTATTGTGCGCTGTTCAATATCTGCGACACGTTTGTATACATATCGAGCCGGAATTTGATTTCTTTTCTTTATCGTAAAATCTGTCTCGTGAAACTCTAGTAAATTACCTTGAATGTACAATAAAATTTGAACTATTTTGGAACATATGAAAGATAATTAAATTATAAAATTATTTTTTCAATACTTAAATTTGTACAGGTTATGTTCATTAAAAAAGACGTGTTTAATGTTTTATTTTTTATAAAGTAAATTTTCAACATGAATTATGTGTTTTGTGTGTTACGTGAGTAAAATATTTTAAATAATAGCAATATTATATATATTTTTATGAATGTAAATAAAATTAAATAATCACATTAATGTCACATAATTAAATATTAATTTAAAAAGATTTTAAGTTATTTTTTTAAATTTAAAAAAAATGAAAAAACATCTTGTTCCATAAATTAAAGAAAACAACGATTAAATACTTTCGATTTGCAAAGCATTAATAAATCTTGTTGTTTATGTAAAGAGCGGAAATCGTTGTTCACGAAGGAACAAGATCGGCATATTTCTTGCAACGATTTCAATGGTAATTCGTGTATCGATAAAGCTTATGCAAGAGTTGTTACCCGTATCTGGAGCAGAAATTTAAAAAAAAGGTGTCAGAGTATTTCTTGCATCGGCATGAAACTAGACCGGCGAAAAATTTCGTAATCTTTTCGTGACTTTTTATCGTGCAGAGGATGATGCACGGACATGATGCATGCCTGTTTTGTCCATCATTTTAGCTTATGAAACTTTCGCAAAAAGTATTACGTTAGTTTTATGCATTATGAAGCAATATAAATAAAAAAAATCTATAAATAGTATGTTTAAACATTATTTGAATAGCCAAAAAATAACAATATTGTAAAATATTTTGTAATATGCATATATAAAAATTTAGTATATTAAGTATGAATTTTTGATAATTATTTTATATAATTCTTTATCAAAAATTTATAAACTAAATTTATTTATTTAGATAAATTTTGAAGAAATTTTTTAAGATAACAGAATTCTATTCAAAATTTTAAATTTTTGCATTTTGTAGAACATATTAATTTTTTTATTTTGTAATATTAAATCTAATATAAAAGTAATTTGATTAAAGTTCCTTAATTAACCTTTTTTTAAAATATAGTCAGATAAGTGAAATCTACTGTATCTTCTTCTTTAGATAAAAAATATACATACCTTACTAAATAAAATACTTAGCAAGTGACCTTTTCAGTAGCAATTGAAGAAGACCAAGAAAGCTCGCTTGCATAAACATTCTTATAAATTTATTCTCTATTTAAAAAAAATATTATAAACATACCAGAAATTTTTCCTACTATGTTTCAGATTCCTAACCTATTATGACTTTTAAAGTGATTCCTGCGATTACTGATTTTTATAAATGTGAATGAAGAATTCAAATTGTTTGATTATAAAAGAGAATAACAAGTTGAAAAAAATTGAAAAGTATTTTATCACTCTAAAATATATTTCCATTAAAAATATCCATATTCGTCTGAAATCACTGCAAAACAAAAGTTAAAGTATCACCAATTCCGAAGAGTCGTTTGACAAAAAGAAATTAAAAAGAAATTCGAAAAAAAAATATTGACAAGTTGATCAGAAAAATAATAGTCTATAAATAGAAACTTGTGAGGTTATGTTTACCTTCCCGAATACCGAATACCAATGCGACGTGAAAGGATCGAGGATTATACGATAAAGCTAGTCACGGGTAAGTGACCTTTTCGACAGATAATCGGAAATGAAGAAAGAAAATCTGATTGCGTAAAAGATGTCACCGGTTGATCGTCACCTATGTCAGAGATACCGCGTGCGCGCCCGCAATCCATGTTATGCAAGAAAGTAACGATGCAAAAATCACTCATGCGGGAGCTATCTACGCAAGGACATTCTCAGAGACAGTTTTCAGCTGTTGGCGCGGTTGCAATCATGTTTGTGCAACGTTAAGACCTCGACAATAGGGACAGATATTGTGGACAATTATTATCAAAGTTATATAGAGACTGTAAAATAATTATTTCATATATACATGCAACACTATACTGATCGCGTTTAATCCAACAATTATATTGTTCTATAAAGGCGATACCATTCGGATAATGTTTTCAGAGCATTATTCCTTTCACTGACAATCGACAATTGGATACATGCTCGATGCATTCAACGATCGTATCCTGAAAAATGATTTTTGAATTTGTTTATTGAAAATTACTTGAAAACTATTGGAAAAAAATTTTTCTTTTTAAAAATTTAAAATTCATTTTTTAAATATATTAATAAGTTAATTTTTTATTTTTTAGATATTTTTAAATTTGTGTGACTTAAATATTAGAAGTTCCTTAAAACAAACGATCTCGAGTAACATTTTTTTGCACGAGTCTTTCATGAGTGTTGAAAAATCGTATTCGTAACCACAATGATTCGGACCACCATGTCTGTGGTGGATGCCTTGTGATGCCTCAACCTTGACCTGTATTGAACTAGACCAAACCTTAAAGTAGGCTTTTATGCACATTTCGCAATGTTGTTCCCAACACCAATTTCACTTCGACCGTGACTCGAGTCGGAAAGCAATGTGATCCTATACGAGCTATGTATCATCAATCGTCAATGTGAACTATGGAAGTAACAATTAATTTTATTTTACTTTTTTAAAGTACTTTTTTCACTTTTTTAAAATATTAAAAAAAAATTTATCTTAAATGAAAGATTCATATTTATTTAAGGGAAAAATAAAGAATATTGAGTATCTATAAGAGAATTGATAGAAAGTAACATCTAGTATCATTATATTTGAAGAATCGTTTAGATTTTTTTATTAATTGTATTTGGATTTAAATGATTTCTAGATTAATTAATTTTTTTTTACATTAAATTTTTCTGAACTCAATTTTTTGATTCTATAAGTTTCTAAATTCCAGTTTTCGTTATACAAATTTTAAGAATAGCTAATTATCTCTTCCTTCCCAAAAAAAAGAAAATTATATTTATAATGGAAATTATATAAATATAAATATTATCTTTTTAATTTTTTGAGAAATAAAAAACTAATAAAATATGTAAATTTTTTTTAATTTTTCAAACACTAAAAGAAAAAAATTTAGAAAATTAAATTATTTGAAAACATTTGTAAATGCAATTATTATGAATTGTATTAATTTGAATTGATTATAAATAGGATGCATAATTGAATGATGTATGTGCAAACTCTTATATTAACATGAAAATAGCATTGTCTTGTTAATAATTATTAATTTGAAGATAAATTATAGTTAAAATAGAATTGTGAAACGTACAACATGCCTGTAGAATAACTACTATATGCGAGTTTCTTTTCGTTTGTCGTCCAAGAGACAATATGAATGCAAATGATGACATTGTAATGGGAGAATATAACATCTACCTATAATAAGCTATATGAAATATAGTATCAAGAGATGATAGAAAAGTACATAGAATTTACTTAATTATTTAATAGAGAAAGGAATATTTCCTTATTTCAAAATTCTACTTAATTATGATTTTACTAATCATTTTTTTTTTATCTTTTTCTTAGATTATTTTATTATAATATTTTAATCGATGCTTTCTTCTTTTATAATTCGTTTAATTTTAATAAAAAGAATAATAAATAAAAAATCTTGAAAAATTCAATTCAAAGCTAAGACAATATATAATAATTTATATAACATTACTAATAAATTATAGATTTTTTTCAAAATCTTCTGATAATTTTAACCTGCCATTTGATATTATCTTCTCATTTTTATAATATGAGTAATATTAAAGATATAATCCAATAATCTTGCATTAATCTCAAAATCTCTAATACATAGGATTTACTTAAAAATTTCATTATTATCATTATATAAATTAATTATAATTTCATTACAATTTCAAAATTTACTGTAACAAAAAATGCATTATTTCATTTATATTCTTAAAATAATTTTCATTATCTTTTCCATCATTTTTCTGAGCACGTTTCACTTATATCTTTATCAACCACCACGACTTATTATCCTGAAAGTACACGTTTGTAACCGGTCTTGTATATATGCAGCGATTTTCAACCTTGACCTGTATTCAACCGGCGTAAACCCAGGATCCACGGCGAATCGAACAAATCCAAAACTGAAGGAGCGTGAAAACGACTTTATCTTATGCCGCCTGTTCGTGCCCGTCGTTCTTTGCCGCGTGGAACGTGAAATGAAACGAAATGAAGGACGTGTTCCGCCGCCGAATTGTGTCGAGGATCCAAGATGGATATCTGTCTGGCCGGTAACGTGAATCAAAACGTGAGTTTGCTACGTATGCACACGATCGCTGAAAAATCCAATGAGCTCTTAGAAGGGTTGAAGAGGAAGAGATTGTCAAGGAACGAATGATAAATTCGAAAAAAAGGCGCGTGACAAACTTCCGTGAATCAATCCTAGAGATTCTTATCCTCTTCTTGTTTTCTTATTATAATATTTGATTTATTTTTGATTAAAAAATAAGATTTTTCTTTCTTTTTCTGTATTTTAAAAAATATTAAATTAATGAAATTTAAATTATATTTTTTATTTATGATTAATTTTTTAATCTGAAATAAAATATCTTATATTTAATCATCTATCATCTAATTATTTCTTACCTCAAAAATAATTAAAATTAATTTTAGTAATTATAAAAGATTTGAAATTTGTTACTTTATCAATTTCGATAGTTTTACTCTTAAAAGAATTTTATATTATGAGAAACAATGAAAGAGTTTATGATATAGTTTTTATTATGTCGTTTACAACCTTCTTTAAATCCAGTTTTCAACTGTTTACGGATCCTTTGACCGGACGTGGCAATTGAAAGCTGCATAATGTAAATGTGGAACTTCTGGTCAAGGATAGCGGTTTTAAAAGTAATAGCTGTAAGAGCTACCAAGTATAAGCCGTAATTCAGCCGTTATAATATTATAACCTGAAAGTATATATTATTTTATTTTTTTTTTTCATAAAAATCCTCTTAAATTGATAAAAATATTGTTGAAAATTGTTAGAATCATTATTTGTTTTACAGAAAAAAATATTCTTATAAAAAAAATATTTACTAATAATTATATTAAAAATAAATATAAAAAATAATTATTCACAGTAATTATATCATAAAAATAATTATCTTATCTTTAAAACTTAACATCTTTTGTATAATATTTTATATCAAATTTACTTTAATAATGCTGGTATTTAAAATGTATAAGTTGATAATGGATACCTTGAACGCTGTGTGAAATAAAACTTAGAATTTCAAAAATTCTGTGGATAGTGCATCATGAATAAATGAATATCGTATTGCGTATTTTCGTCGAAATAATTTGCATCCTGCTAATTGGTATCTGTTAGTTGGCAAAGTCTATATAATAGTGAGAAATCATTTAACCAAACACTTCTAACAAATTATGACATGGACTGCAATCATGAATTAATTCTGTTATTAAATACTTACAGATAGTGAAATAGGTGGTGAACAGATAAATTTTTTGTAATTCATAATAATCAATAATAATCAATAAATGTATTATAAGAAAAACCAAATTTATTCAAATTGTATAGAAAAAAATTTTATTTAATACTTATTTATTTCTAATGAATTTCTATTAATATATTTTAGGACTTATTTTTTTCTTTTTGATTATTTTTAAATTGTTTATCAAAAAACAATGTAAATACTAAAATAATATTATTTTTATATGTTTGAATTTATTCTTTATATTATATTTATATTATATTGGATATTGTCGTCCATCAAGAGATAACAATGCATTTATGAAAGTTCAAAAAAAGTTTTAAATATATAGATAATCTATATATATTTATATATAAGTAATAGCTGTAATAACATAAAATAAACAATATATAACTAAAAGTATTAAACTAAAACATATTTCTCGAAATCAATCTAAATATCTTAACTAATCCACTAATCACTTGACATTTAAATCCCGAATTCGACATTTCCGAAAATCGAATCTCATTTCCATCGAATTCAAACAAGCTCAACATATATACTTTACTCAAGATTAATCTCAAGAATTGATTCCCACGATCCTAAAATATGCATTAAACACATTGTACAAGCGTTTACGTTGATCATTCCGGAAATGTACTCGACCATATGATATCTATCAATTACCTGCGTTGCAATTAAGAAAGTTAGGTTCGAACACCGGAATCGCCCATCGGAAAGTTAACTTCATGTATTAAGCAATGTGGAAAATACCAAATTATTCTTTTTATTGATTCAGTTCACCGGATAGCTATCCATCGAAGCTTTGTGTCAAATTTCTGAAGCAATTTCCGCTTGGTTAAATTAACGAGTTTTTCACACTATAGTTTGAAATAATCTTTCACTCTCGAGGATACGCTCTCTCGAATATAAGTGGTGGCGCTGTAAACGCGTCCAAGGTTTTGTCGATTGAATTGCGCGATTCGATTCGTACGAGTGAATCGATTTTCACAGTTGGGATCGAAAAAAAGATAAAAGAAAGGTTTATGTAATGATATCAAGGAAAGAGTCTTGCCCATCGTGGGCAGATTACACAGCTTTCTGTCATGCAATTAACGAAAGAAATCGAAAGATCCTGGCATTCCTTAGCACGAGCAATGACCGTGTTATGTAACCATAATGTAACTAAAATAAATAAATCAGCGAAGCTTGAATACTGAGTAATGAACGAAACAATACTTGTTATTCCAATATGGCTGAATTTTCTTATGTTATGGTTATAAATCTTTTAGAAATTGATTGAAATATGGTATTTGACAGATGAGAAATAGAATTATTTAATAGTATTTGGAGTATATATTTCGTAAAAAAATTTATAACACAACGAAGCAGATTTTTGAATTTTGTATATGAGATTAGTAATCCTAATAATCTATGAATGTTAAAATATTCTAATGAATTATAATAGATTCTAAACTCTGAATTCTAATAGTTAATAAATTTTAGCTATATTATTCAGCCATATTAAAATAATGAGCATCGTTTTGCTCATTAAAAAAGATAAGTAGACCAGAATAGATAGTTTACAAATTTAAAAAAATATTCTAAAAGAATTTAAAATAAAAATAAACTAGGATTAAAGATTAAAAAAATAAATAACAAACAATTTCTGGAAAATTTTATGAACAATGAAATTTGAATCGATTATTTTTTAAATAAATTAATTTTTTCTATCTAGAACCAAAAGATAAAACTAAACAATCATTCGAAGCAGATATATATGCAAACAGCATACAAAACGCATTTTTACTGAAGCGATTGCCTTCTTCAAGCTTCCTCGTGTCAAGGTTACACACATTTTCCGATACTGAATATTTAAAACATGTATGACTATTGAATCGATCGATCTGCATTCGACTTTTGAATGCTAAATTGTTTCTCGTGTAAATTGCACGTGGAAAATGTTCAAAGTTGTTTTCACTCTAGACGGGCATGATAATTGAACACAAATGACGTTACGCTACGAGGAATAATATAACGTCAATTGAGACATTGTTTTGCAGGGGTGTCGTATTGAAAACGTGGACGTATGAGCTTGATCATATTTCATGTATTATGTCATCTCAAATATTTTATTTGAAATGAAAATAGAAAAAAAGAATTTAGAAAGATTTATTATTATTTATAGAATTATTTTAATTATTTAATTGGCTTTTAATCATTAGATATAAAATTTGTAATAAAAAATATAAAATTAAAAATAAACTCTTCTAACTTTTTCTTCTATTTTCATATTAAAAAAAGAAGCATAATTACTTGTTTTTGTTAAAATATTTTCTATTCTAAATATAAATTAATTTAAAAATATTATAAGAATATTAGTTTTACTTAGTAATATAACATATAATTATTTTTATTTAAGATTTTTATTTAATAAAAAATAAATATTTCAAAGAAAAAAGGAAGGTTCTATTGATTTTGAAATAACAAAAAATTTTTTTGTCTTTCTTATAAAACATACTAAAACCAGTTCTTTATGATGAATTTACTTCAGTATAAATTGCTACATGTTTTCCCCATCATTGAAACACATAAACTGTACTTTGGAACATGATTTATATCAACAATATCATCGTAGCTAAACATTGAAGAGCGTCAAATAATATTTGAACGAACAATAAACGGTTAGTCAATGCAAATTAACCAAGACTTATCAAAATTCTCTATGCATTACTAACTGGACTGTAGATCAAGATCCCAGTCGCTCGAAGAATCACAAAACTTCATTCTCAGATTTACTTATAAAATTTCTTTGTCCAGAATCGATAATATTCTTGAAGATTCTTTATCTTCCATTTATATTAAAGAGAAAAGATTTTTTGTGCTATAATATCCTAACTTAACTTTTCTTAAATTTTTGAATTCTAGGAAATACATTAGTGATTCCAAACTTTTAGTTGTTAGTGTATATAATTGAAAAAATATTCAAAATTTAATTTAACATTTTAATTATCTTCCAAATATTACAGTATATAACGGACAAAATTCAAATGAAAATTAACATTTTTAAAATATTGTTATTTTTTTTTATATCTTCTTTTTTTTCGAATGGAATCAAAAATTAAACATTCATTTTGAATGAAACGTTATTTCTATTTAAATTAATTTTCGAATTCCAATATATATAATCCGTTACGATCTTTTTAGAAATATTTATAGCAGAACTCTATTTAAGTAAATTACGTATATTTATGTATACAAAATTTTATCAAGCATTTAATTAATTAAAGTTTCGAATTATTAATATATTCTACAAAATATAAAAATTGAAAAAAAAATTATCATAAAATATTTTATAAGAAAATTGATCGAAATCGTAAATCGAATCGAAAAAGCAAAATTATTAATTTAATTAAAAATCATAAAGTGAATAAAAATTATAACTAACAAAAGGAAAACGTGCTTCTTTTATATGAATGATTTAGTTTGTATACGAATTGAAGTTTCCTTTCTATCGAATATATTCATATCAATCAAATCTTTAATAAAATCAACGTAATTTAAAAAAAAAAATTCAAATGCTATCTTATTCAAGAATTACCTTATAAAATTAAAGATGTGTCTCTCGTCCTAAATAACTCGACACGATTTCGAGGTTAGATTTATCGTGGCCGTGAAAACAAGTTCCCGTATTCCGTGTACGATTCACACGGAATCACACAGAATGACAGAAGTGGCCACCCTGGAGGACATTCATCGCGTAATACGCAACGTTGCCTTTCACATAGAATCACATAGAATTGTACTAAGTTGTTACTATTATTATATAAAATTTTCTATTATTAAACGATACTTATTAAAGAGTTTCTATTTACAAAATGGAAAAAAGATGAATGGTAATAAAATTTTATAAATAAATAATAAGGAAGTTAGATATCCGGTTAAGTATTATTTTTAAATATTTCTAAATATTTTATTTAATTTAGAATAAAAATTTTTTGTGAAAAAATACTTTAAAAATATCTTAAAATATAAAAATATTTATAATATTAAACAAAGAACAGAACATTTTAATCTAATTAATATCGATAAGAATAATAAGATTTCATAACCAATAACAATTTTTAATTGACAAATTGATCTTATCTATGAATCACATTTTTCAACATCATTTATAAATACTAACAAATATTAATAAATCTTTTTATGTTTAGTAAATAATTTATAATTGGTATACTCTTGTGATATCATGACACATCGGTTGAAAATTATTATTATAAAACTTAAAGTTCTACATTGCAGATAGTAATATATAATAAAAAATCACATAATAGCATTCTTTTTAATATAGAAAGCCAAGTTTATAGAAACAGCAAAATAAGTATCTTTGAAGACATTTTTGAAAATGATCATCACATAATACGCAGAATTACCTTTCACACAAAACAAAATTACAGAAGCTACAAAGTAGCTTCTAAGACGCCATCCTAAGGAATAATTATCGTATAGAGTGCCTTTCACATTGAATCTTACAAAACCACAGAAGCTAAGGTAGTAAATAATACATTCGAAACGCTCTTCGTGAAAACAAACCCCAAAGAAATCAAAATCCAAACGTTACTTCGGAGAACAACACGCACAATATATGCGCTCGTGTTACAAAACATCGTAAATCTACAAAACTCATAAAAGTATGATGAAAACGTTAAATGATGATGAAAATACATCGAGAATAAACGAATTATATAGAATATCTTACCTGGTATTACCATTTTGATCTACGTCATTATTTTTTTTTCGTAGTAAAAATGTTTCAGATAAAAGTTGAATGATTTTAAAGAGGTTATATTTTGATGTTATTAATTTCTTCGTAAATGAAAATATAGAAAACTTGTAAAACTCAACTAAATTTTTTTAAATGAAATTATATACTTCTTAATATTAGAAAAAAATCCCTAGAAAAATCAAAATATCATTTTAAAAAATAATCATAATATATAATTGGCTTCTTAACCTATCTTTAATCTACATCGAGAGTATCAATCTAAATTTAATATATCTACCAAGAAACGAGGATCTCGCGGAACGTAGATGCGAATAAAGAGAAAAATGTATTCTGGGTGCGCCTATCATTGTGCTGCCGGCACTGGGTTCTCGCATTCGATTACGCGAGACGATCGGGCCGTTCGAGAGGCGAACGAGCGGGCAAGCGAACGGCTGCACCGGGCAATACCATGGAATGGAATGGAACGGAACGGAATGGCAGGAGTGTTACAAAATATCAGCTTTCACCGTATCAGCGCGTTACAGCTTTACACAGACTGACTTGGGTACAACTCTGCGATGTACTTCACTTCTCTCTGTCTCCTTCGTCCTCGACGTTCGTTGTCATCGAAGACATAACGTCATCGCGCGCCCTCTGGCAGTATTTAAGATCGTTTTTATGCGTTCGATCTATCGACACCTCATTGTTAATCGTGATCGTTCTTTCAGTGGGATTGTCCTCGATCATCTTTTTTATTCTTGGAGATCGATGATAATCGTAGATCATCATAATCATAGTTATTTGATCTCAGACATTTGTGGTCGTTGGTATTCTTATGGCAATGCAGGTGATAAGTAGGTTGAGGTTTTAATGGTTAAATGTTTGAGGTTAGATTTCGTTAGTTGGATTTTTACTTTTTATCAATGATTTTAAAAAGGTTATATTTATATCCAAAAATTAAAAATAAATATCTTCATTTAACGTTATATTCAAATCATCTAAATAATCAATTAATTTTTACCACAATTAATCTATTGTCATATTTTATGTATAACTAACAGATGTCTCAATATCTATAAACAAAATAGTATCTATTATTTTATTATACCAATACAAAAAATCTTTATCTAATCCATTAAACGATCTTCTATTAAACATAGAATCCTTGACAAGCTATTTCCAATTAGTCTTCGAAGCCTTGACAAAAGTAGCAGTAATATAAACGTGAAACTAAACTCCAACCAAGCATTTCCTTCGACAGGAGCCGAGACAGCTACGTCTGGTTAACAGCCTAATAAAGATAGCTCATGGTTGGTTAAAGCGGTTTCGTTGGACCTCTATTGGGAGCTCTTGATGGGTAGATAGTACGAAAATGCAGTCAGAGGAGATCGAGAAGATATTGCGTAAGTGTGCCTACTTAGTATATGTCTGCATTGGGAAAAACCTAACCTATACGTTGATAGGTGTTCACTAATCAACCATAGACCTATTACAGGTCACCGAACTAAGTCATTCGTTAATGGGAATTGCATTCGCATAAAAAAATATAGCAGTTGCGGTTGATTGCGGTGATCAGTCGTTTCCTCGAAAAGAAATTCGTAACACCGATAAACAGAGAAAGAGATCTCGGTAACTCCATTGATCATTGCATAAGATAGTAAGATCTTACGACACATTTTAAAAAAATTATTTCTTCAAGTAATCTAGTAATTTCTAATTTTTAGATAGATATTTTTTGTTGTTTTTAGGAAAATCGAATGGCCTGAATTGAGATATCTAATGATACTATAAAGAAATCAGATAAATTTATAAAAATTTAAGGTTAAGAACTCTAATATTGTTTCTCTGAAATCTTATTGTTTTTATTCAAAATCTGAAATTTTATTGATTTTATAATCTAACAAAATTATTATAATTATTTAAATAATTAATAATGAATACAAGAAACTTTTTTTTTTTTAAATTTTAAAATTTAAGAAATAAAAATAAAAAAATAAGAATGATAAAAACGAAAATGAAATTCTAAAAAATTTATTTATGATAATTCATATTTAAAAAAAAGAAATTAAAAAGTTTAATATTTTTAACTATTTCCTAACTATAATCAAAATGAATATCTTACTAGAGATAAGACCCGTTATGTTATTGTAATTTAAATCGATACTCTATAATAGAAGCGATTAGTCACAAACGTTAGTTTCATTTAATAAGTATATTTTAAAATTGCTGACGTATCGAGAGAGCTATAGACAGAAGTATACGTAATTGTGAATGATCTAAACGTAATTGTAAATGATCAGATTAAGTATAATTTTAAATGATCTTGTATTGATTAATATGAATTATGATTTACTCTTAGGAAATAAGAATAATCTTGATATCGTTAACGATTTTATAGAACATGTCTAATTCTTTTAGTCTGTACCAGTTTGTGATAGTAATTTTTATCTTGCCATTTGATCTATATTTATTTCTATATTAATGTGAATTTTAATACATTATAATAATTAACAATTGACATTTTCATATACACTAATTATATATTGTATGGAAAAATTACATTAAAAGATTCTAAAAAACCAATTATGTGAAAAATTTGATTATTATTTAAATTTTTATTATATATTTATAATTTTTATTATATTGTAACAAATAATGAAAAGAATGAAATAATGAAATTTTTTAATATTGTCTTTTTAAAAAATCTTTTCCTTATCATATTATTATTATCAATAATATTAAAAATTTTGAAAAAATATATCAATGTATGTAAATAAGAAGCAATGCATTTTATTTTTTCCTCTTAGATATCCTAATTGTTATTCGAGTCGTTTCAGAGAGTGCAGCATTCTATCGAGAGGCCACCTACGTTCACGTGGAACTCCACGTGAGGGAGAGCTCAATGTTGCGTGCGATTGAAAGTAAATTTTTTTCTTTTCTATCGATCACAACTAGCCAGCGGGACCTATGTAACTCGTAAACTGTCGATTCGTTGTATTTTTAATCACAGCACACTATGAAACCGTTATATCGTATGTTTTACAACTTGTACGTGTCATCTCATGACCCTGACACATTGTTTCAGTGAAGTTCAATTGAACTCTACTTTCTATTTTCATTGTTAATTGGTAAAATTAATGAAATTTGTTAACATATTGACATAATACAGGTTTTTTAAAATTTTTTAGATCATTTGTAAAATAGATCATCTTAATGTTTTAATATTATCATATAATCTAATTTATTATATTAAATTTTTGAATTTGAAATAAAAAGTTCCAATTAAAAACAAAATTAAATTAATTTAAAAAAAGATAAATGTATGAATGTATAATGTAATGTGAATATATAATGTTTTTCAATAAATATTTGATATATAATATTATTTTTAATCAATGTATAACTAGTTAACTTTTTTAAAAAATTGCCTGTTTAACTAAAAGATAAGACTGAATGCATTCTGACTGTATGAAGTCAATCTTTATGAATTTAATTATAATTTAAAATTATATTATTCACAAAAATATATAATATAGTATAATATAACTTTAGCAATAAAAAATTAATTTGTTTTATATGATGAAATAATTTTAAAAAAATTAGATTAGAATTCAGAAAATTTCTTAATAAAAAATCTATCAAATTAATTAATATTTATTCAATTTAATAAAAAAAAATTTAGCAGAGGATTTAATATCAAAAAGAAATAAAATATCATTAATAAAAATATCAAAAAAAAAAAGTTAGATTAAAATTTCATTTCCTCAAAAAATTCTTACAAAATTTTTTTAGTAAAGTAAGTGAATTCTTTATCTAGATCTAATTTGATACTAATTTTAAATGATACTAATTTTAAATGAATAAAACTAGTCAAAAATTTCTTATAAAAAAGAAAAAAAAACTTTTGACGGATAATATACATAGCCTAATTGAATCTAAAACGTATATCAAATTTTCCGATTCCATGGAGCAAGATGATACGAAAATCGTTTTAATGCCAGGTCGTCGCCCGTGACATTTCAAATACTTTCAAGTAACCGTACGCTTCTCCTCTCTCCGCGTACTGTCGATTAAACATGGCGAGAGTCGTCGCAATTATAGCTCACGAGAAAGGACTTTCAACTAGCGAGAAATTGGCGATTCACTTTTGCAATCATTTAAACAGCTGATTTGGACCAGTCAAAGTTACACCATGAATATGAACTAATTGTAAATAATTTTCAATTTCCATCGATTTTCGATTTTCATAGATAGTATAAAATCGTTATCCAAAGTTATCCAAATAAATTCAAATTCTTAAATGGAAATTTCTCTAAGAAATTATTCGAACAATTCGACGTTGAGGAATAGTTTCATTCGACTTGTCAAGGAATAACAATCGAAATCAAAGATTTGTCTGTTTGGAGAATGGCCGACTGTAATACTGTAACCGTGACCCGTTCGCTTACCAAGTGTAATAATTCGCTTCCGCGGCTTTCGTAGTTTCTCTTTTTTGTATGGCCTAAGAACGAGATGGAGCGATTGTAATCTGACGAACGAGTATAACGACGCGTGCTAACTTAATAAACCAGTTGCCCCGGGTTATATAAATGAATCGTGTGGATTCGAAGTGTTACTGGTTGTACGATTTAGTTACCGATTATATTAATTAGATGAAAACAATGATCGAATATCGAATCATTTTGAAAATGATTAAATGATTTCAATATCGGATTTGATTAAAAAAAATTCAATTGTAAATAATAATTTATAAAAATTAAAGATAGAAAGAAAATCTTAGATCAAATTGAGATCAAAAACTGTTGAACTTTAAGAAATTTTTTTGTCTCATAAATTTGGTCATAATTTTTGAATCATAAGAAGCTTCTTATTTAGAATCAAAAGTTCTTAAATTCTAAGAAATTTAGTAATCAAACATTTTTGAATTTTAAAAAATATTTGATCTCATAAATTTAAAATCTTGAAAGATCTCAAATTTGAAACAATATGCAATAACTTAGAGGATCCTAAACACATTCTTGGAGTATCTGATTTCCTGTATCATGATATATTGAAATCTTGATTGAAATGCTCTTTATCATTTCCTACTTTTCTATTTCTTAGATTTCTATAGAATTTTCAGAAATTCTTTTGATTCTAATATTCAAAGTTTTCAGATTTTTAATTATAGTAACTTTTCTCATCTTGGAATGTTTGTGAATCAATCTTTGTGAATTCGTAAATGTTAATTTTAAACAATTTTATAATTGTATTATATTCCATTGCCTATTTTTGTGAACATTAAAATATCAGCTATATTATCAGATTCATATAATTTTAATAATTTTCTATTCCTCATAATAAATAATTTCTGTTCCTCTAATAAATAAACCAATCCTTATTCATTATTATATACATAAATCTAAAAGACAAAAGAAAGTTACTGGACAAAATGCTCCTTGGAGCATAACCGGATTGTGTAATCTACTCAAGAACAGATGATTCGAACTTTACTGAACGAGTTATTGGAATTTCAAACATCTTTGAATGCATTCCATGTATAAATAAATAATTTTAAATATTCAGAACATATAGATGAAAATTGCTCTAAGATAATCTAAATTTCAACACGTAACATCACGAATGGAATTTAATACAGAGCACTTTGAGATCATTTTTTAAAATTGGAATATTACAGAATGCTTCGAGATATAAAAAACCTAAAATTTAAAAAAAGAAATTGTATGAATGCAATTAATAAAATGGTTTTTTTGAAGAAAAAGTTTTGATTGATACTTTTGAAAATAACATTTAGATTGGAAGAAAAGATAAAAAAATCGAGTATAACAATAAGTATAACTTAGAGTATGATATATTACATAAATAAGAAACAAACTCGAAATACGAATAGTTTTTTCGCTGAAAATATCAGAGATGAGAGTGGAAGGTTTAATGGCATTTCAAGTCACGAAAAGGTGATTCTATTTAATAATAAGCGTAAGTTAATAGACATGCGACCTGTTATATAAATGAACTGTCTGTTCGAGGCAAATATAATTTCACAGTTTTACTTTCCATTTGATGGAACAACTTCAACTATTCAATATCGATACAATGAAAATACTTTCTTTGATAGAATGATTTGATATGGATTTTCACCAATTGAGGGAAAAAAATTTATACAATTTAAGATTCATGAAAAAACCTTTCTTAACTTAATATTTTTAAAAATATAGACAATTCCAACAAAAAGTTTTTAATTATTATTCCTAATTATAATTAAAATATTTATAATATTATAAATCTTTTAAAAATCAGTCTAATATTCAAAATTAAATTTCTTCGAAAAGAATATTATACTCTATTCAAATCGAATATAATTCTATAACGATTCAAAAATTCGACAATGCTTTAAATCACGAGAAAACGATCGAGCAACGGCCTACTTTGCACATAAAACTATTCATGGTGAATACTTATCGAAAGGTTGGTTTTCTCCAAGCGTGAAAGCGCCCCTATGATAGGAACAACTTTGCCATGAATTGAAAAAACGATTGTTACAACGATAGAAAATTGTATTAATAAAATTCCATAACCGTGGATCGTGATCAAGGAAACCAAACGAACAGCAGACGGAAGGAAACCAACTGTGAATATTTCCGCACAATTAGTAACAGTTTTGCCCACACGTGAAAGCCGTGAAGAAATTAAATCGAACATTTGAGCAAATAAGCGGAAGTCAACTTCTCTGTGAATATGTAATACCCAATTATTATAAACATAATCTTATATTTAGATTAAATGTCCATT